TGGAGAGATAATCCCTGACCCTGCATCTGTCCAACGAATGCTTACGACGATCGTCGGTGATTCAACAACATGTTCCTGAAGATGGCATCACGCCTAAACGTTGAACGTCGTAAAAAAACATCTCCAATTGCGCTGATAATACTTTGTCAATAAAAACTACTTTACTGTTTGGTCAATAAAATTGTTGTTAACAAAATTGCTGTTACCGTACCGTGATATCAAAACACAATCTACCATTCTGTTTGCATCTGAATACTCATTCATCGCCAGAACTATACAACTGAGTGAATGTTTCTCACGTAACCGATATGTGCAGATGTGTTGATGAATGTTCACATATACTATTGTCAGACATAACATTCTCATTCGTTGTACACGATTTGTTTCGGAATTGTTTTCTCATATAGCCCGATCTAAATGATAACATATTCGTCTGAATATTTAAATGGATAGTCTTCACGATTGCATTCGTTCGTTGTCTGTTGTGTAATCACCATTGAATATTGAGTGTACTAACGCCTATGAAACCCGATCAACGTTGTGTAGGGTCATATCCGAAATTCCTTATCCCCGTGGCCCTCGTTCACTTTTCGACAGCAACTCCCTCCTGGGTTAATACAACTCCTCAGTTATCATCAAACCTGCAAAGTCCTTGATTTTGTTCGTCTCTGAAATTCTTTGAAATACCTGATTTCCGAGCTGAGTACTGTATTCAAGCTAGATCACTGACCGCGAGACATCCTAATTTAGTAGTCTCCGAATAAATCGTTAACAACATCCTGACTATAGTACGCCTTTTTGTTAATACATCTAATTAGTGAATTCGACTGGTTATACGAATAGTAAAAACAATAAAGCCAGTTTGAACTACATCCAATCATTACCATAACGTGCATCGTCTTACTGTTATTTCTGTCGTTTTTCAATGCTAACCTTATTCATTATATCGATCTTCCGTACTACAAACCACGGCACACCAAATTCCAATAGCACCTCTCTCACTTTTTTCTATTGTCGCTACAATGACCTTTGCCGATCGCATAGAGCGACAGGCACACCAATCGCTCAGTGTCCAAAGAATCCGAGCACCCTTTAAATGAACTCAAACTCAAACTTATATGAACTCATATTCGTAATATGAACTCAAACTATACCCACGTTGCTGCTTGTTGTTTATCACTGGTTTATTTCTGGTTACATGGATCACAATCGGCAGTTGTAAATATGTGCCGTGACACCATGTCATCATGCATGCGATGGTTGATGCGTGTTATTTGTGTGTCACGCCACCCTTTCCCCTTGACTTGAACTGCAGGATTATTGTTATGTGTGTTGTTAACAGTACGCATGTGGGTTATAAACAGTTATCAACAGTACGTATCATTATTGGTATAATGCAAAATGTTTGGGTTGCACATACCTTATTGCTGTACGTGCATGTTATTGTCAGAGTTGAGTGCTGACCATTTAAGTGATAAGAATCTTATCATATTATCAGTGCTGTTCGAATGACAGCCGACAGCGTGAACTTCTCTATTGTCAGTTGTGTGTCGTTAGAGCGCGTTTGAACGACTCGCTCAGTCCACATATAGTTAAGAGTTAAACTTAACTATATGGACGATATTACTTAAATAAATAATA